GGTGGTGCATCCTGAAATATGGATATAATTATTTTTTTCCTTTTTTTTTTTTTCTGGGGGGGGGAGGGGGCAGGGGGGCGGTACGGATGTGTTTGCAAATGCGCAGTTCAGTGGTTTAAAATGAAGGCACCACAAAACAGAACACGATGTCAGAGAATTAGTTTGCTGCTATCTTCTGTTATTTAATGTTTAAAACAGACCAAATTAAAACGGGAACAAAACCCAAACGTGAGTAACAATGAAAAGAAGTGACCAAGTGGAGAATTCCATGAAGGTATGTTTGTTTGCACAAGCAAACCGTATTGCTTTGAGCTGAATCATTTTCACAAGTAAGGCATGTTCAATGTCTGCAGAACCATAAAGAGGCAATGTTTTTGAACAAGAGGCTTATTTATATACAGAAAAATATATAAAATATATTTGTACTTCGTTAGACACAGAAGTACAACTGTGTGCAAATAATACTGGATGCATTCATAAAGATTCATTAAAATTGTACAGACAGTTAAGATCCTTTTGAAAATGTGGCTCAGATAATTTACTTTAAAGGGCATGCCATTTAGAGGAAGCAGCCACCCCCCTTCTCTAGCTCTCCAAGTCAGCAAAAGAACTTTCTCACCTAAAGTCCAGCTTTGCTTGCTATATACAACAGGTCACTTGTTTAAGAGTCTACAGTGAACAGCTTTGCTCAGAACATTGCTCCCTGAAAACACTTAAGGCACATCCATAGGAGGATTTTTAACTTTTCATATTGCATACCTATATCATATACACTACGTATTTTTGTGATTTTAAAGCAGGAGACCTAGTGCCTCTACTTTGTATTGCATTTTTTCAGTTCTGCATACTATGGCTTATATTTGGCTTCTTAAGTTTTTCACAGGTCAAGTAACCACTGCAAAGACCTCATGACTTGCCTTTTATTGCTGTATGTTTTAAAGTATGAGTTCCCCTAGCAGGTCTTTCCTTCACAAAGTCCCTATTGCTGATAGGGACAGAAACTTATTGCTGTGAGAACACAAGCCTGAAATGGGAAACATCCTACAACAAAACATCACCAGCTAAAGTCACCCCAAAGAGCATTATTATAAGACTGTTCCAAGTCCATCTGTCAGGAAAGAGCTAAAAGTTCAGAAATATGTTCTTACAGACCTTTAGAACAAACAGAAAAACAGCATTTGCATTAAAAGCACATTAAAACTATATAAAGTACTGTAAATAATATTCAAAAAAAATTCAAGACACAGCACTTACAGATTATCAAAGGGAGAGACAGTTAAAAAGCAAAGGGTGTTTTTTTTTTTCTTTTGGCAACAGCAGCAATTTTGGCACAAAGGCAAATGCAGAAGATAGAGAAAAACAGGCAGACAGGGTACAGAGAAAGGTTACAGAATCTACGACAAGCATGCCACAGTTCAGCAGTAAGCACAGGAGCAGCTTTTCCCAACTTCCCTTCCCCAGAGAGAATGGCATCCATCACTCAAAAGCTTGTTGCCACTTCCCAAACTGAAGGTTAGATCTATATTGCAAGAGCCAATCTGACCATAACATCCCTGTGAACATCCCATGTAACCACCACATAAGATGCCACACAGGCTCTCTGGCAAACCAGACAAAACCTTCACAAGAAGGGTGATTCTAGCTGGCTGCTAAAAAAACCCCTCAGCTTGCTTGTGCCCTGCAACTATCATCATTACAATACAAGGGACAGACAAAATACATGAAATGCCAGCTAGGACTGCGGGCCACCCAGTGAGGGACTGACATCTTTAGCAAAGTTAATACATGCCAATCATGTTAGTAACACATCACAAGTGCTTGTTGTGACCAATCTTACCTCAGCTGACGAAACCTTCTGAATGTTATTTTGTGGTTGAATATTTTAAGCATTAAGCTGGCTAAAAAAGAAGAGGCCAGATTTGGTGGCATAGCAAAAGAGGCAGTGAGTGTATGGGGAGAACTCACGCAATTTACATCCACTTGGGATTCCATGGCAACTAAAAAGCAAGCCTTGCACGAGTCACCATAATGCTCACTGAACAAGCACTTTGCTAACTCAGGGCTGAATTTAACTGAGAGGTATAAAATGTAAGAACAGTGGGTTTTTTTGTTCTGTATATTCTTTAATTGATGTTTCTGCTGTACACCCTCCTTTTGCCTTCTAGGCTATCTTTACATCTCCATCAAATACCAAACCTGCACATTTCACACTATTTTTTTGTTTTGTTTGTTTTTTACTTAATCATTTTAGAGGCAACTTAGACTTCACATCAAGATCTTCCTTACTACTGAGGACTGGCTCAGACCTTAGGGTCTGAAATTGCTATTGCCAAATTTCGTTTGGTGGCACTTGCCTTAAGGGACATTTTCAGATATATGACCTGTATTAGGTGAGTCTACCAGATGGGTGAAGCAGAGCTTTGGAAATAGAGCTCTGCCTTTGTCTCCATTTCAGACAGGTTTTTGCTTGAGGTAGTTGTCTACTCTACAGTGAAAGCTGAACATCTATAGTCTCTTAAACAGACAACTTAATAAATTGCAAGAAAGCATATACGCAGAGAGTTCAAAGTCAGGAGTTATACTGAGATGTAATCTTATAGACTCCTTTTGATTATTCGGGAATAATATCCTACTCTTCCACTGTATGATCAAGCTTGGTAATTCAAAAGGGTTTGTTTTGGTTTGCTTTTTTCAAACCATATGTAACTGTAAACACATCACAGGTTTCCTGACCTACCTACCCAGCAAGAACAGGAGCTACAGGTAGGTACCTACAGGCCATGACTGTTACGCTAACAGAGAACTGACCTGCCTTTAATGACACTGTGGCTTGCTTTTAAAGTACATTGCATTTAGCCTCCTCCCGCTTCTTAACCTTTGTTAAGCCAGTAGTTTTAAGATATACTTAGAACCTACTTCACAAAGAAAACAAAATCTCAGCCACTAATGGCATTTTTCTAGCAGAAAGGGGGAGAACAGCAGAGGCACTGCTCACTTTTCTACCATTAAATGTACTCCTGTCATGCACACGCAAGAAAGCACCATGATACACTGCCTTAAAGATGACCTAGCTTGACCCAGCTAAGCTGAGCGTGTTCTAATGTACTTTGGACACTGCAAGAGGCAAAGCTTTAAAAGGTCCAAAAGCTTTAAAAATGATGCTACAGTTATACACTGCCTTAGAAAAGCAGAAAGCAAACAGAAGGAGCCCTAGATTTCACGTTTTGCCATTTGATAAAATGGTGTCTGTTCTGTTTTACTCCTCTGGGAGGTACTACAATTCTGCTACAGGATTGTGCCACCACTACGTAAGGAGAGATGGAAACATCTGATTTATAGCTGATTCATTAAGTTTATAGCAAACCACAGCCTATTGCTTGCTCTACTTAATGTTCACTTAGATGCTACTTACTGAATGCTCATTTATGAAAGTGAATAATTAAATTCAGTCAGTTGGAAGGACTAAATCAGAGGAAGCAATTGCTTTGATAAACTAATTGATACGCAACTAAACTATCCTTCTTCCACTTCATATCACCAATAGCTTCACTCCATAAACCACCTTATTCTCACATCAGATGCCCTATGCTCCAATATTTTTTTCCATTCATCTTAAAGAATATGCTCAAGCTAAACTAAATCACTTTCAGAGAAAGAAATTTTAAGTCTATCCAGTTGCACAAAAAATTCTGCAATTATGCCATTTGTCCACAACATTTTGCAAATATCATTCTTCCATACCTTTTCCCTTTCCTCCATTTTGCCCTGTAGAAATTCCACACAAACAAAAGAGGAAACGGTGAAAATAACTACACTTCAAGAACCAACTGCATACACTAAGAATAAATTTCTGTTGGACTGCATTCAGTTACAATCTTAGAAACATGTGTAAAAATAATATGTAAAGTCAAACAAAAGCATGATTGCCTGCATGTTGTTCAGGTCTTTTCTCAACTAGCACTGTGAAAATATTCTTTTCTCAAAGTGTTGCTCTAAGTGTGTTCTCTCTCTAAAAGCATCTGATTTAGTTTATCCATACTGCTCCGGAACAAATACTAGGAATCAAATCTCTTTTTCTGACATCACTAAATGAGCACTTAGGGGCTGGGCAAACGAGCATTTGTAGCACAGACACTTCTCCCATGTTAGAAGGAATTAGAATTTCAAGTTAAAAGGCAAAACTACTTCACAGTAAGACACACACATTCACCACCCCATTCCCAAAGCCATGGCTAGGAGCAGCACAGATTCTGGCAGTGAGGGAAGAGCACCATGACCTGCCAGCACCATGAAATTCAAGGGGTTTAAGGAATCCAATCCCATTAACTGTCAGAGACACTCAGAATTCCAGAGACACAATCCAGACATAATGGGATCTTTCCCACTCAAGTACCAGGTTAATAAAGAGAAGCTAGGGAGAACAAGAAACCACACCCAGAATTCAGGCAAACACAGAAATCCAGTTTGAGAGTTATTCCAGTGCATTATAAGAACTTTTAACTTCACTAACACTGAGCTGCATACATTACAGACCAGAGCTCTTTATCTGGGCCCACTCAGAGGAGGCCCTCAACTGAGCATCTGTGTTTTCCTGGAATTCGGTCAGATAACGTCCTTGAAAGGACCGAGAACATCTAGGCCCCAAAGCCACAGTGCAAAACAATATATCAATATTTTCACATAATGCACGAAATTCACACAGCACCCCAAAATCACGCAAATTATACAGCTCATAAAGTTGGGTCACATTAATTGTTACTGGTCAGCAGGCTGCCCACAGAATTCCCCTAGGATCTGCACAAGAACTTCCGACTGGACATAGAGAAAGGGAACCCCAAAAGCCATCAGCTGACACATGAAAAAGGAGTCCAAAGGGTTCTGGGCTACCTGGTGCCCAATCGAGGAAACTGTGCTTTGCAGGCGCTGGCTTGCCACCCTAACTCTGTCAAAGAGGCCGAGAGAGTACTGCACCACCCTGCTAAAGAAGGAAGCGGAGCTACCTGGGGCTCTCTCTGCTGAGGTGGAGATGGTATTTGCTCGTCCGGTTCCATCACTTGCCATGGTGTCCTGCAGAGGTCCTTTGCTGTCCTGTAAGAATGTGGGGGAAATTAAATTCGTATTAAAATGCCTCAGCAATACTCTTTTTTTTTCCACGTGAGGTTATATGTACTGAACACGTTGAATTAAGAAGACATCCCTCTGGAAATTAAGATACCCCTTAATCATCACATAAGGCAAGGTCTGAACTAAGTACATTCCTTCTCAATTTATGGCTTTATTAAAGCTCTGAGAAACAAGCTGGATATCCAAGAAAGCCAAAGGAGCGAGATCCCTGAGGTCTGCTCATCTGGGAAATAAAATAAGTGCCACTTTTAGTCTTTATTTTTGGCAGGAAGTATGGCACAAATATTGGGGTGGATCCCTTATCCTTCCAAAAATAAGGAGTAGAACTTCAGCTTGTACTAATAAAACCTGAGAAACAGGCAGAAAGACCAGCATCACCAGTACCACAAAGGAAAATACAATTTAAGGGGGAAGGACAGTTTGCAGCATGCAAGCTTAACAGAACTTGTTAAGAGACTACCACATAGCTTGCTCAGACAGAGTATGCAAAAATACTGAAAAGGAGGTTGAGGAGACAAATTAAGTGCCTTGGAATGTAATGACAAAAGCTGGGAGACTTTTCTGCATTACACAGTGGCTCTTGATCCTATATTTAAAGCGCAAATGCTTCCATTACGTTAGTATAGGAAAAGGGATACGCTTTCTTTCCACCCAGGTTCCCACTAACACACAGAAAAACTTCAGAAATCAAGCCAGGTCTTCTTCGTAGCCTATGCAAGTGGGGTAGAGTTTCATGTTTCAAAGGAAATGCAAATAATTTGTTTCATCTTAAGAAAAACCACAGAGAAACAAAGCAAAACCACAACTGGTAACATAATTCATTTAGTCTCTGCATGGACTGAATAAGTATTTCAGCTGAAAAGAAAACAAATGATAATCCTGTTCTGAATGGGACAGTACATTATTTTAAAATAAGAATCATGAAAAGAGAAGTGGTAATTAAAGGAACTGCTTTTAAATAAAATTTATAAAACTGCAATACCTCATGACATAAAAAACCAACTTGATGCACTCTGAATTTTTCTACTTTCTGAAAAAAACCCAGCATATTTACTTTTTCCATGTTAAGAATCAAATCGTGGCGTGTTAGATGAAAATAATGAGTTACCTTTCCTGACAGAGGACCCACTGCTGGCCTCTTCCTTTGAGCATAACCAGAGAGTCGGTAACAGTAGTGAGGCTTACAGTAGAATTTACCTGCAGATAAAACGTGAATGATGGTCAGCAAGGAGAACACAGCAGTTTAGCACAATATAAATGCCCATCTCACCCGTTTTCTGCTGCCATTCCCATTGCTCCATCTAGTTTATTCACTACACATGGAGGCAAACCCTATCTGAAGTTTTAACTCCAGCCCTCCTCTCTCCCCCTCCTAGCTAGCATCCTTTCCATTGGGTGCCTGACAGCCATTTAGTTTAAAATCCTACCAAACACCAAAGCTGTGAGGCTTGTGTGGTATCACATGCTAACAATGCGGCAGTGTGTGAGGAACAAAGAAATCATCACATGAAAAGCTGGCAGAAGCACTTTTGGAAAAAGCAAGAATGAATACAACCAGCAGAGGAAAGTGGGAGAGGACAGTGTTAACTCCCAAAGAACCATCTCTAAAAATGCAAAGCGGCTACTTGTGGGAAGGACAATCAACCCAGTAAGGCCTTTTGTGAAATTACTGGTTTAGTAACACCCCAGAAGTCTACATGGGTTTTCACCGGTATCTGAACACTGTCAGGAAGCCAAAGCAGCACTAGTAATACCATAATACAAATAGTAATAATAGCAGCAAATGGATGGCACATAATTATTTTCCAGTGTACCATTGTCAGTGTACCCTGCTTATATATGCCGCCTATAGCATCCCCTACTGCTATCCTATTCCTACAACTTTGCTAATGCATTTCAAGCCTATATTCTGTCCTTTGTCCCTTCCTCTAGTTTCTCTGGGCTGGTATTTGCACAATTCTGTGTCTTATGATGGAAAGGTGACAAACCCTACCTTTCGAGAAGTCTCTGCTTAAATAAACATTTCTTAATATTTACTCTTTCCAAAAACTGCTCTTTCAGATTGTCTGAAGAGAGCAACAACTGAAAAAGGCTTACATAAAAACTCTCGGACTTTGAAGCCTAAAGCCCGACAAAGACTGCAGAACGCTGCAGAACGCTCATCAGTCCAAACATCTAGATGAATAGCAACAATGTGTGTATAGCTTTGTTATTTTTTCTCTCAAAGAAAACCCAGAATGAAACGAGCTAACTTTTCACAATTATTAGATTAGATGGGATACCACATATTTCTGTTTGGCCCTATCTTCTTCATATACATACACAAGTGTTAGGCATGTAACATCATTTCAGAATCAATGTTGTAAGTATGCTGAAACTCCGAACTTTGCGTTTGCTTCATTGAGAACTATCTGGCCATAAATGCATACCTAAGTTTGCTGGCAGAGGGAATCACTAGTCTGGTAGCAAAAACTGTTTCAGCACATACAGCTGAGAGAGGACCTCAGTCTGATATTGCTAATCATATAATCAGATATTTGGTTACTGGTGAATGCCCAAAATAACAGCAGTGCACAAAAACACGCCTTTTCCCCACCTCTGATAACTGATGAAGCTTTTACTTTTAGATGTTGATTTCAAAATTGTCATTGGCCCCTTTAAACTCGCATGCCAAGCCTGCTGACCTTCCGGCCAAGTAATAATGGGGTTTCTATTCCTTACTGGGAGACGGGTTTGATGATTCTAAGTTTCCTGAACACTTCGTGACTGAGTAAGTCCATTACTTAAAGTCATTATATAATGCATCATCAATACATAATTTTGGTTCTTTTTGACTCTTAAGTCTAGATGGTGTTTCCATGGACATTATTCTACCCAGTATTTGCAAAAAGTTTCTTCCTAGCTACACGCGATAGATACCTATCAATTTTATAACATTTCAATCTGCAGTAGAATATTCTGGAGTTTCATCCCGTGGCATATCAGTTTATACTTTTTACTTCACCTTTGCCTCAATGAGTGGGGAAAACTATCAGTACTAACACTTTTCTCTTGTTATCTTGGTTTCTACACCATCATGTCTGGAATAGCATCCTTTCCACCAGCCTCCCACTAGTTTTACATCATTTTGCACATACTTTCCTACTGAGATAGGACTAAAGATAAATGGCAGCAGTAGAAGAAAATAAAGGCACACCTGTTGATGTAAAAGTTTATCTGAGATACTTTCTCATTTTTTCTTTAGAAGAAATGAAACTTCCGTCACTCACTGCTCAAGCAAAGAATGCAACACATTGCTACTCTTAGAAGATTACTTTTCACAAGCAATGTGTGATTTTGAATTATTTCTTTCAATATGCACACTTTGTTGATAAATTGAGTTTCATCTGCTCCCATATTGTCTGGTTTCTCAGATTTGTTAGGTATATCTGAGGCTTCCCTTAATTTTTAGCATGTTAGATTCTGTTAAATGAGTCATCAGCAAGTTTTGTAAAGATATTTCTTCCCTATCAGATACAGAAAACAAGAGTCATTACTGAATCTTCAGTAACTACTTCAACAATGCTTTCTCTCTATAACATTGACTTACCTCTAACTCAACTTCGATGCTCCATTTTTCACTATATAAACAGAACTTAGTCTGTAATGAGCTTTTACCAGAGCCCCTGATTATAAAGTTCCTATTTTAGTACCTCTAAAATAAACAGAGTTGGACAGTTGTGATATTTTCAAGAGGAAAAATGACTGCATTTGTATCCAGTGTGTTTTCTTCTCTTAAGCTATATTAACCACTAAGGAGTTCCCTCATTTGAAACAAGAGTAAAGGGCCTAGCCTTCAAACTTGGCCTCCAAACCCTTTTAAAGGCCCCAACAACAATTTGTTTCTTTGCATTCTAGCAGCTGTTATTATGTTAAATTAAATCCTAACAGCTCAGTTATTTTGCTGTCAGCATGACCTGGCCACAGGAAATCCATATAGTTTCATCTGTTTGAGAGATGATGTCTTTGGAATGGAAGTTACCTTCTTCTCTAATTCACCAGATAATTTTTAAGCAAAGAAAGAGCTGAATTCACTAGACAGATTTCCAGGACAGTTAAGAGAATTCTTACAAAAAGGCAATTTTGCTTACCGTCTTCAATATCATAGGCGTAAGATGACAAGCGCAGAGTCGTCGCACAGTATTCACACTTGAAGCAACTGCGGTGGAAGAACTTGCCTTCAGCACTCAGCCTTTCCATCACATAGACTCGCTTGCGGCAGAAGTAACAGACATCACTGCCTCCCAGGTTTTGGGGGAACTCCTTTTTGAGTGAGCCCTAGACAGAAATAGGCATGGCTAAATTTGTGTGTGTCCAGCCTCACCAAGATTGCACGGTCATATTTTCTCTTCATTTATGCAGATACAGGAGCATCTGGATGCTGCAGTTTTTCACACATGGATGCTACAGTTCTCGGACACAATTCGCAGGTTTGACCAGGACACCAAAAACTAACCTTATTGTCCAGGTAAGAAGGTCCTAGGATGCCATGCCTACATATGTCAGGAATAAAATAAGCTCTGGATGGAAGAGTGGACACCAGTACTAATAATGATAACCTTGAAATAAATGACTGAAGGAGGCATGTGATGGAAAGCCAAAACCATCAAAAATCCCTCAAACAGCAATTCTTAGACCTACATTATCAAAATCAGTATCTCCTCCAGAAAACAATAATGCAGAAGTAGCCCCAGTGGATCAAACACATCTTCATAAATATGACAAGCAGTTTCTCAAATGTTTATGCACAACTCTTGGAGGCTGAGATTAGATTAAAAGATTTTGCAAGGAAAAGGAGGACAAGAGTGAGGGTGGATGGAGAAAGGGAAATAAGGTCTTTCACAAAACTATGACAGATTCCATCAGTGGTAGCACCAACTGGACACTCACAATATTTCAGATCTACAGTACATCTAATCACAAAACACGCATCATCTTCTGTACATCATCTTACCAGTTCCTTCTTGTCTAGAAGGGTTTTGGGTTGCTCTTTCCTTTGAAGCTGATTGGCTATCTGCTCAGCCAATGAGCTCACTCCGCCTGTGTACATCTTTATATACTTCTACCAGATGGATGGAATAAAACAACAGGGCAGTGAGAAAAGGAAAAAAAATCAAATTAAAAAAAATGACTGAAATGATAATAGGTTAGGTGGTGAAAAGGTGCAGAGAGGTCAAATCATGCCAAGACAGTGGACAATATGAAGTGACAAGTAGTAATAGCAAAGCTAGTGTCATGAGAAATCACCCGTACAGTCCAGAATCAACTGTAACAATGGAAAAGAAGGCTTGCATTTTGCATTCTCTAAGTGCTCGAAAAATACTATGATGATGAAGAAAGCAGATCTTAAGTAAGATTGCTTGTGGGGTATTTTGCACCTAGAAACCTGAGCACAGATCCTTCTCAAAGACAAGGCCAAATATTTTAGGTTCCAGGTAAAATTGGCATCAGAAACAAAGATCTTTTAGAAGACATGTTGCATAGTCTAATGCAACATGCTGATCACAACAGCGTCTTTATATGCTTTGCAACTGGAAAGAATTCAGTTACAGAGCATTCATAGAGCAGGGAGAAATCCTTAACTAAGGAACTCACAGTGAGTGATTCAAAAATATGAATTCTTCAAATGCTAAAAACACATAGAGGTTTATATGAAAAAGGATGCAAGAGCCTCATCCAACGCATTAAAGCCATACCTGCATATATCTGGAGCATATACTTGTTCAACTGTGAAAACGGCTTTGGGTATTGACTGACTCCATAACTTTGGGTATCTAAAACCCCTCCAGTATTCTGAGAAACCTAGGCAGGTTGACTGTTACCTTAGATGGTACAAAACGAGCATTTGCAAGCCAAGTTCAGTCACTGCAGGAGCAGAGGAAGTGTTTCTCACAGGAAATATTTACAACCGTTGGCAATAATTACATGGTTAAGAAAATTATGTGGTTACACCCCTGTTAGCTCAATCACACTGCAAATGCCATGTATTTGACTCAGAGCAGCAAGGAGCACGCCAAGCAATTTTCCTTTTACAGGCTAAGAAGCATTACAAATGTTTCTAGCAGGAGTCTCCTCAGCAAATGAAGAACCATCAGAGAGACACTCCAGCTTCTGGCAAGTGTAAAATACCAAGGATAACAGTATTCTGAAGGAAAAGGCTAAAGTTGTATGTCAAAACCCCCTTTACTCATATAGCAGAACTTGGTTGAAGCACATTAGTTACTTCCAGCAACTAACAGAAGAGCATAAATTTCATACACGTGGTTATTAGCCTTTTAGGAATGTTCAAGTCCTTCACATGTTCAGGCATGAGAACAGCAGGAAGCATCACAAAACCTGAAATTCACCACAGAATGGGTGGTACTTTGGGAAAAAAGATTTTGAAAACGGAGTGCTCGTCCATCAGAGTTTACTGCTGCTGTCCTAACTCCTTAAGCTCTGTGCTACTGTAGTAATGAGGGTTTGTTTCTATCCAGAAAGAACTTCTACCTGTCTACTGATTCCACCCCAAAATGCAGAGCACTGACAATATTTATATATGCAAGAAATAACCTGATTTGTCTTTCAGAATTTTCCATATTCTTCCTCAGCTAACGTATGTGCACACATACGTGCAGAGTTGACTATATCATACATCATATCTTGTCAAATACTACATTTAAAATGGTGCCTACTAGAAAAAAATTCTTCTTTTCATTCAACATTGATCTTTAACTGGCAATCATAATCATTTGGCCAAGAGTTTTCCATTTTCCCCTAAAAGACCAGAAACCTTTGAGGCTTTTTAAGTTTTCTTAAAAGACAGTTCAAGCTTTTCCATGGGAAAAAATTTCTTTTAGCTGAACCAGGTTCCCACTGAGCAAATTTTGATTTGAAACCTTCATTCAACCTTAACTGCAGATGCTTCAGGATCTTTAAATTTCTACCAGCACATATGAAGTTCCATGCTTAAAAAGTGATTATGCTAATCCTAACTCAGAATACCTTGGACTATTTCGTGTGGGAAATTTAGTTGCTGATTTTTTTATTTGGGGTTCTGTGTTTCTGATTTGTTTTGCTTTTCTCCTATACACTACATCTGGCCTAATACCGGATCTTTAATGAAGCATTTTATCTTTCCTCCTGTGGGCAAAAGCCTTTAAGATATACAGTGTTCTGCAACATTTGCAAGAGTGGGCAAAGAACCCACTCCAGCTTAGGTCAAATCAAGTTCCTGGCGTTTACATATGACAACTGCAACTAGTTCAATTTCTCAGTGATTTTTCAGAAAGCCAAAATACTTTTTATTTCACACTGTTCATTAAGCATATATGCACAAACGCATTCTGTAGTTTGGCCCAAGATCTCAACAAAAGCAGCAAGCAAAACAAGAAAGCTTTACTGCAAAGCCAGACTATCAGTGCTCAAAAAAACTGATTTGAGAGTGAGATGTACCGCAAGCGTTTAATTTACACCAAACATTAAATATATTTAGTTTCAAACTGCTTTATGGCTGGCAATAACCAAGCTATGCCACAGGTTGCCTCCGGCTTCTCATTTGTGCATGAATATGCACAGATACTGCATTCTGCAGGTGAAGCATTGCAAGCCTAGCCATCTCCTGTGGTGTGTCCTTGGCTGGTGGGACCAGGGTGCAGCAAGCGAACACAGCTGAGTGCACCTTGCAATGCTCAGGCTAATGCTACCTGTCGAAGAGAGTCAGATGAAGGTGAAGAAGGGCGGTTAGAAGAACGGAGGCTAAGGGAGAGCTCCCACTGGTCAACAAAGAATCGTCGAGACGGTTCAGTCTCAGGCTAAAAAATAAAATAAAAATCAAAACAATCATACATGTCTACAGAGGAAAGAGAGGAGAAAATAAAAAAACTCAGGCCCTTCTGCCCACAATCAAAAAAAATTCTTTAAGACTCTTGTAGGAAAACTTGGAGAAGAATGTCCAGTGTATCTTCACTTTCTTCCTAGTGAGGCAGAGTAAGTTATTCTTAATTTGCTCTTTATTAGGTTTTAAATTATTTAGGACCATTTGGAAGCAGTTACCTACTTCCACAGATGTCCAACTTCCTGTAACTCAACCAGCTAAGCCACTGGCAAAGATCCCAAATCAATTTCCTCTGCTCCTCTTGCATCTCCCATTGTTCTGTATTACTGGTCCAAGACACTAAGATTGCATTTCAGGCCATGTGAGACCTCTTCTATATGTTAACTACACAAACCAAAAGCCTGCTCACCTTGTGGATGGAGGAGAAAGAAATTAACTTGTATGGAATGTCAGTAATTAGCAGCAAATTTCCAACCTAAAATTTACCGTAAGCAGATTGGAAACATCACACTAAAAAGAATGAAACAATATAAAACAATCTGCTGTTCTTGCTTATCAAACAGCAAACAATAAATCCCAAAGTGAGAATTTGTATCCTTCTGTAACTGGTTCCTCTCCAGGAGAACCCAAAATTTGGTCTTCCAATATACCCCTCTCATTATCTCTATGGCTCACTATGCCCATCTCCCAAGAAATATTACACATAAATAGGAAAAAAACCAATAGCTGGTAGAAACTGTGCATTCCTAGAAATTATAATCTGGAAAGAAAAACTACGCAAATTTCAAATATTTGACCCTCTTTTAAAACAAAATTAAGATTTCCATTATAAAAAGGAAAAATAAATGTCATGTAGCTGCATGACCCATGAAAATAGCTATTTCTAGCCACACAGAATAGCCTAGCCTCAAGATTAAATCTACTGGACAAAATGCAAAATAGCTTGGATTTCACAATTTCCCCAATTTAAAGAAGCATAACTGTTTATTTTATACACAGATTTTCTGTACTTAAGATCATCAATACTTAATCAAATTTCTTTTCTGAAAATGTCTTTCTTTGCTAAGCTTGCTTTCTCTTACTACTCTGTTTTTCTTGTTTTCTTCCTTTAAATCCCACATCATAATCTATTATTGCCTGCAGTGGTCCAACATCTGTTTCCTCTTCTTCCTCTCTGCCCTACTCACTTCATCCTTTCCTCTACTTTGTATCCTCCATCTCCCCTATATTTTCTCTCCTCTTTAATTCTGCACTATACAGAAATTAGATAGTTTCAAAAATAATTTCTATATTTGCATTGTAATGCTGTTAATCTTCTCCACCCTCAAAAGGAGCTTCCAAGTGCTAGAGAGCAACACAAAAGGTAGGAGCAAGATGTTTTGGTCTAGATGTTCATTTCTGCATCATCATTTCAACTGAGTAAAGTTGAGCATATGAGCATGCTGTCCTTGGACCATGGCTGAGATCTTCAGTTGTGTCACCCACTAACAAATAAATGTCAGTATGTTTAAATTAGTCTTCTTACCCCATCTTTCATTGTTTCTTCTATGTCCCTAAATTCTATCTCAAATCCAGCCAAAGGTTCAGTCTTCCTTCCTCAAGAACAGCTTCACTGACTTTTAACTATCAGCAAAGACAGCATTTCCAAAAGAACAGCACTGGAAAGTGACCTAAACGTTACAAATTTCCTTTTGACGTGGCTTGGAGAAGTTATGCCCACCAGCAAAAGTTCTGGGACTGTTTATACTCAAGCCCAAGAAGAGAGCTTGATTTTGGATGGTTAACTCAAAACACTAAGTTATGAAAAAAATCACTTATGTAGATGGTGCTTTCCAAAAGCACTCTCCAGTTTGCCAAATGCTGTTGAAAATAACTGAAAACAGAAATTGGGGCAAGAAAGTAGAAACTAGAGAAACCACTGTTCAAACTGGCATGCTCCCATATGCCAAAGATGACACACTGGAGAGAAAATTAAGCACAAAACCAAAACAAAAGTGTACACTGGAATCAAAGAAAAGCTGCACAAGCTGCCAACTCTACCGTTGGAAATAAGTATACAGGAAGCATGGACACAGAAGTAGTACTTCAGAGCCAGGAACTATGCTTGGAAAATGCAAATGTTCTTGCTTCCAGAAGTAAAATTTGCGAGCAACTGACTGGTAAATGACCACTGTGAGATGATTTGATCTGGAGTGCAGCTGGTTTTCAGCATGTACTCTGAAGCTTGGAGGCTGTTTTTTACCTTATTGTTTATAGTGTGTTTTGAGAAAGAGAAACATTGTAATTCATCAAACAAGGAGACAGTAAAGAACTGTCAAACAGGATAAAAATACTACACAAAATAGACTTGACCGTGTCTTTTTATATCCACATGACTGTAAAGCAATGGTCATTGTATTTTGGTGAATTTTTCTATCCCTCTGAACCCAGATGTCAGCGGTACCCAGAATCCCACACTGGTACAGAATACCAGATAGGCGGGGCTGTAGTCACCTGATGCCTCACTGCAGGTCTGGACTCCCGGAGGGCAGCCAGCTGACATGCCCTCTGCTCAACATTCTCAGGCACTGGGTCATCAGAAAATAAACGAGGAGATCTCTGTGAGATGAGGAAGGAGGGAGGAAGTAAACAAACCAGCAAAAAAAGCCCCAAAAGGAATAGACACCGAAACGCCAGACAAAAGGTATGAAATTCACATGCAGAACAGTAAGTGGAGCTCCCATGTGAAGACTGTTTTTATTTCCAATAAATGGAAATTATTTATGTCCAATGTCTACTGCTCTAATGAATTGCTAAGTTTTGATCCTCAAGGCCAACAAAAAACAGTTGAATTAGTTATTCACAACTCTCTTAGCTAGGACTGCTGCAGCCAAAACCAAACAAGCGCGTGGCCTCTCTTGCTGGCATTACCATCCAAAAAAAAAAAAAAAAGTGGCTTTATCATGCACAAAGGAGTTTATTTGCCAACTTATGTCCCCATAGTTCTTGATTCTCAAGGATTTACTTTACATATCTAAACCTGCACATACTTGTGTTTCTCAGATTTTGTGCACAGAAGCACTTTTTTTAGGGTAATGCACTTCAGTTCTCATAAAGAATGAGTTCGTCTCCACTGCTATATGAAAAGTGAATGCTGTACTTACCAAAGAGAGGATGTTTAATGAGACTGGCTGGCTGGAGCAAAGCACAGCAAAATCAAACTGTCACAGAAGTCGCCGGTTTTACTTCTGCAACTTCACTGCCCTACTTGTTCTTACTGCACTGCCATGTCAACACATCCCAGGCACAATACTTGACACCTCTGCTATTCTGGTCTTTCATATCAATCTTCTTAGTCTGTTATGTGGCGTACTTAGTGACATGGACAAAAGACCTGGCTTGTGGCCTGCTGTACAGGACAGGAGTATCGCCCGCAATGTCACACAGCCTTCAGCTGATTTGTCTGTAGAGTTCAAAACCAAATGGACCAGGAACTACAAATGTGTGCGTGAAGAAACCTCGGGCTTGATCCGTCAAGAATTCCAGGGTGCTGCTACGTATCGCTAACTGTCCTCCAAAGCAGAACAACTGGGGTCACACCCAATTTACGAGAAACACTTTTCCCATTCAGATGCATTAATAATACTCTCTACTCTCAGTTGCTTTCAGTTCCACCTACTCCTTCCTACTAGATCATTTTCACTAAAACTAGGGCCTATTATAAAGCTGTGGGCTTCTGTGTCACTGCAGACACACACTTATTCACTCTTCTACTGCCTGTCAGAAAACACTCGGCCCACAAAAGTCTTTTGTTAGAACACATTCTGAAAGTTGCAACAGTTTTATCGCTGGCTACCACTTATGACTTAATTCATTCAAAGCCTTTACTGGAATTTCAGTTAATTTGTCAATATGAATTCAAATCAACCAATCTTCTGAGTGCCTATCTTTTCTTTTCCCATGCTTCTGTATAATGCTGAGCCATTCAGACAGACCGTTGAATATTTCATTGTTAAGAAGGCTTCAAAGTCTCTATACTAAATGCCTCATCGTTTTTTCTTTCACTTTGGCCTGTAGGAGGCAGGATGGAATGCCAGTTGTTTAACCATCCAGAAAGCAAGCAGTGGAAACAATACAACCACGTTCACATGAATTAGCACAAAACATAACTCTTCTTGTTCTGCTACAGCCACAGCATACTTCAATAAAGAGGTGTAAGAGAAAAGAATGGGAAGAGCTTAAGTGCTAGATCTACAGCAAAATAAAAGCATATAGCAAACTGTTGATGAAGGCTTGTTATGCATTTATGTGGGTATCACACAGAAATAATCACTCCTTATTGACACTCAGCAGTTCAGCGTGTTAACAGCAGCATTAGGATAAGTGTGTTTCACTACCCAGTACATTTGCTCTCCATATTACACGCATCTGCCACAGCCTTGTGTCATCAGCATCCATGCCATTTGTTCATGCTCTTTACCCTTTCCTGTCTGGGACTCTGCTCCCCGGGATAGTCGGCACCAGGTTCCCTGTTTCTCTGCAGGCAAAAATTATGAGCTTAATAGCAACCACAGACCAACTTCCTAGTCAAAACACACTTCATCTGATTTTTCTTAAGATGCAGGCAGAAGAGAGGCCATAATGATAGCAGAACAGTTTATTAAGAAGATAGGGAAAATTTAAAAAAAATCAGTCTGTATATGTCCACATTAGGTCAGTAAACCACAATATAGTACCACAATGTAATGAAATTAGTACGATAAAGATGGTAAGACACTCAATATAACTCATACTGTGATGTTAGATCAAAGGAAGGAAATAGAAAGTTTAAAAGAAGTGGCAGAATGAATGCATTAGAAGTGCAGAGGTACAGGTTTTAAAAGACATTGTAACAAGGACATAGATCCATCTGACTCACTATGAGGCCTGGGCCAAGACAATTTCAGGAAAAGGAATCATTCCTAAGGAAAAAAAGATGTCTCCAAAAGCAGACCCCTCTTAATTGAGTCTAACAGATCAGTTCTGTAGCACAGGGAGTAAAAATCCCTCACAGTTAAAAGGAGGAAACCAAATTTTCTTTTATTATGATTTGCTTGAGCAAGAAGACATGCAAAAAACATTTCCTACAGGACGCAACATAGAAAATGGTCAAAGTGCACTTGGATCCAGCAGTAGTTGGCTCTCATGACTGAACTAGGCAACCAAAAAGGCACAGGACAAACAAACACTTGGAGAAGCTTGGGAGGGAAAATACAGAACTAAGGGGTCCTTAGTGACTGAAAGCCAATTTCTCTATATGGAAAATGAATCCCATGCCACAGCTTAAAAAGTAAAAATCAGCCTTAGTTTCTCAGTATCTGTAAGCTTGGGGAAAACCTTTCTTCTCTCATAAAATGTATCTGTCAAAATTTTCAAAGGATGTTGACAAGAGGAAGACAGCTAGCTATCACATCATCTGATAATATTACACTCAACTAAGCTCAAATGCGGGTTTTGCTAATGGAAAAAGGCTTTCCCCACCCATCCTATATAGATGTCCATTCCTGTATCCTTTTTCTTGCACCATGCTGCCCACAGCATGCCAGAAAACTAACCACTTTTTTGTTAGGACAGTCTTAAATCAGATCAGTAAGCAGATCTGGCCTATCTTGCAGATGAAGACACCAGGGAGGCAGCGGAGCATGTGTGCTCTAGAGGCTGACAATAATTAGACCAGATCAAATATAACATGTAACAACACTCTGAGAAATCACAGCGGTAAGGCAAGTCAAACTTTATATCCAAGAATGTCCTGTCTACCCTGCTCAAAGGTAACAGTCCTTTACAGAGTTTATAGGCATACAAGCGTTCAGCAAAGAAACATTTTCCACCTGTGGGGAAATTTATTTGTACAATTCCTATTTAAAGTTATGGGAGGTCTATGGAACTGCAGCTGCCTTTTTATCACCTCAAGGTTAGCTCAGGAATGACCAGGGAGGAGTGGAATTTATTACTGCAGTAGGAAAACAAAACAAAAATTAAAAAAAAACTTACAAGTCAAAGAAGCACGATGACCATATACAACAAGACAGAAATATTAAAGGATTTCAGGTAATATTTAACTAGAAGAACAACAAACACATGTGCACAAACATCTGGATGCACATTTATACGCTCTGTTCAGAACAGCTCTCCCTGCTCCAAATTCAAACTCAGACAGACTGAACACAAACTCTTGTGAGACAAAGGCTTGGGTGTGAGGGAAACAGAAAGACCACGTTGGACATGTGCAGGCCACTACAACACTCTAAAAAGGTACTTCATACAAGTAATCCTGAAAGAGTCTCATGAATGCAAGGGCAAATTTTCATTCACACTTGTTTAAATGAAGATTGGAGATGGAAAAAGGTTGCATTTTCTTTCCCTGCACTTTTTCACTTTTAAACATTTCCAGATGTTTAATTTCTATTTTACTGCAACTCAAAACTGGAAAAGGCTACTGTAATTACAAATTACCCTACAGTAAAATCTCAACTCTCCAGTGCATCAGATAATCATCATAATCATACTTCTGGTGAGCAATGTGTGTTTCTAATCTAAGAGGTTGAAGAAGCCCTATCACTATCTGAAAAAAGAAAATTGGAAATGCATTTGTAGCTGGAATATCCAGTAACTGATCTAGTCACTTGTACAAGCAGTAATGAAGAGGGAGGGACAGAGCATGCAGAAGGAATCACCTGCTGCCTGGGATACGGTGGAGAGGAAGGTGGAGTGGAAGAAGAGAGCATGATCACTTTTTTGGGGCAGGTCCGAGAACGTTCCTTATTCCTCAGCTTTTTTTGAAACAGAAAAAGAAAAAAAAATCATAATAATGGTAGAAAATAGAGAATATTAACCATTGGCTTTGGTGAGACAGGCCAGAACACATGAACTGAGTGTGATTCTAAGCTCATACCTCTCACAAATGACCTAAAGCCATATTTTATCTGAAGCCGAAAGACTGAAGTTTTTCACCCATAGCCACACGATCATATGTCGATTTGACAGATACTTCTAGGGGCGACCAACATGAATTTATATCAACCATCAGTTGAGTTTCTGACTCAAGGTCTTACAATCAGTGAAAGGTATAACTTGGAACTCTCCACAGCACAGCTGGACTGCTCTCTTTGCCTCATGAAAAAAATACTTGTTGCTGTGCCTTGTAATGTTTAAAGATATCCAACCTGTTGACCCAATTACTCCTGCTTGCAGTTCATTAGCAACACAACTCAAGTCAGTGTTCTGTTCTCAGCTTCAGATCCCTCCTCTTTAACTTACAGATACGAAACTATCCCAGGCAAGTTAAACTGTATACCATCATTCTACTAGAACAGAAATACAGCTGGTTTATAGCTAAAATGGAGCCATATCTAATAGTCTTAGTATTATGCAAGGCACATACATGTCCTCATTTTAATATGCCACAAAACATGCCTATCTAGTTCTCCACCTTGTTACTGTGTACTGTCTTTTCACCACCACTTCTGGATTACTAACATATCTCCTGCCTAATTTTTCCTTTTCTTCCAAGTTCTCAACAGAGCATATCTGGAAATTGTTGCACTGCAGAAAAAAAAAAAGCTGTGTATCCAAAGCCACTTTTAGATAGCCTCCAAAGAAACAGCATGCTGTTTAAAGGTACTACAGATGTTCCTCATTGCCCCTACAGCTGACCTGGCACTAACACGCGTTTGGGTGTTTTCTTCCCTTTCAGGAAAAAAAAAAAAAATCCACTCTTCTAATTCAAAAGATGCTACAAGCAGCTTCAACTAAAGCACATGACTTTGCACTGAAGCGGATGAGGAACACTTATATGCTGTTTCAGAAGGCTCAGCTCTGAAGTCACTAATTTCTAGCTGAAAGAGTGATAACATTTTCAACCACTACAGCTGTTCATGGACTTTCATCTGGCCGTGACTGAGTTTGCCTTTCAAATTTCAACATTTTCACAAACTTGTGTATTTTTCCATGGCAGATCTCAGAATATAAAACTGTACAGGTATATGAAGCACATGTTCAGTCCTTCAGTAGGCTGCATTTCTGAGCATGCAAAGACAAAGATGGCTATAGGAAAGAGACAAGATATATCAACAGATTTAAATAAGAAATTAAGTAGGAAAAACAGTATTTGCAGAAATCATTGGTGTTGTAAATTCTCTTCTGTTAAGATTTCAGCTCCTATTGGCTGTGGTCATCTCAGTTAGTCATTGTGTATTTTCAAAACCACAGTTCCAACAGATTTACTGAAAAGAGTATGTACTGCTGCACCTTTATCACACTTCAGGGGACCATCTCAAAAGAACAAGCATCAGACCTCCAGAGTCAGAAAAGATTTGCACCAAAAGACATGTGATTTCCATCTTACAAGCATGTTTGCACACATCAGTGATTTAAGCTTATGTATTGCACACATACCTTCTTGCTGTTAGGAGACCTATGAAACTATACCAGAAAACTGCTGAAGGCCATAAGCTGAGAGTCTGGAAAGCCAGGGCAAAATTCAGTTTAAAAGGCTCGTCTCCCATACCATACCCAAACAGTCAGATACTCTTCTGGATAGACCACATGCTTTTCAATGGCTTCATGATCCCTGATAAGATGCTTTTTCCCAAAAGGAACCAAAATGGCTTGAAAAGCAATAGAACAGACCATGGAAGATGTTTTTATACAAGTTGGCATTCATTTGAAGAGATTAACCCCCACACCATGAAACACAATCCAGTTTTTTTAGGAGATACTATCATCACATAAAAAAATTACACAAATTTCCACTGTACACAAACACTTAACAGCATCTTCATGCACTACTAGCTGCTGCTGAGGTGCTCATAATAGCACAAACCTAATTTTGACAACACAGATCAACATTCTCAAAGTGTAGCTCAATAAAGCAAACTCTGTAATCCACTTCATAAGGAAAATGCAGGCCACACAGAATGCTGCAAGCAGCAGATTGGTGAGGTTTTTAACCTGCTTGATCTTTTGAAGGTTTTCCCTTTCCAAGAGAGACAGCATTAAAGGTCTTGTGATGAAAGTAAAAAACACTTCAGAACAGATTCTGCCAGGATTTCACTCTTGCTAGGAATCCTGCATAAGTAAGCCACCCCTACCCCACCTGTGCAACAGACACAGAAACGGTCTGCCTTACAAACTCACTGAAACTGCTGGCCTTGTAACTCTTAACTCCAGGGCAAAGCAAGATTCTAGACTTATACTGATAAGCAAGTACAGCTAAGGAAACCCATCTGACAGACACTGGTAAGCAATAGCCCAAGGCAGATGTAGTTTTTCTATCAAAACTGGGGGTCCAACCCAGACGATATCCTTTGCAACTGTGTGGTTTCTCACTTGCAATCACCCATACGCTTTTGCAATATACTTTCCTCTTCCATGCAGTTTCCAAGATGCAGGACCAGACCCATCAAACACAAGAAGCAAACCTTTCCTTCTCCCAAAGACCCATGAGGACCTCAACTTCATTCTGCCTACTGGCAAGAACATTAGACAACTTGTGGATTCCCTGAATAACACATCACCACTTTGTCCTTCTTTAGGAACTGCTTTGCTGCTCTTCAAAGGACTTTTCAGTAGAAGGCATTCGCTATGTGATATATCTTATATGCAGTCACTGACAGAAGTTTCTGCTCATAAACTCTGATGCCTGTGCCAAACAAGACAACCCTTTCTCATAACTTTCCTGAACAACTCTTACCAGAAAGCATACATCCTCCCTAAAGAGCTTGTCATGAGCAATACTAATCCTTTACAGTATCTCCAGGAACATGTACTGGTACCCCGCAACAACTCCACTGTAGATAATCTGTGGCCCAGGAAATAGCTTTATAGCTGGAGTGTCCAGTGTCACAGTAGAAAGCTGTTTCAGTACCGTAGGGACACACAGTCTCACATCTATCAGATTCTGTATACCTAAGCAACCAGAATTAGGTTGCCAGATGAAGTATTGCTGGATGGACTTCTGTCCAAGCTTGGCAAAGCCGGCTGCTTGGCTCAGTGGACGGCTTCCTGCCCCTACTGATCTCTAATCAGTTGAGAATAAATGATTCTATATACTCCCATAGCTTTTGAATGAAGACAACTGATGTTCTTCATTTCCCCAGGCAAGTAATAAGAAACCTTTGGAATAGCGACCATATTAATTGTTTCTTTCATGCTACTGTATCCTGGAGATTTTGCATCCTTGAGACCCAGTTTTATTCTTCTCTGTTTCAATTGTCAGATGGAAAGCACTGCAAAATCCAGCATGATGTTGATGCAGTAAAGCCCATCAAGGAAAGATGATCTCCACCTGTCATCTTGAGAGGGAAATCATCCACACAAGGCAATCAATGTCAGTGTTTAATAAAACAATGTAAGTCCTCTGAAAGTACAATCGTTACAGAAAGATTTTTCAAAGACCTACCCTATATGCTGCCTACAGGGAGTTACTATCAATGTTGAGGGAGATTGGAAGGATTCCCCCCCACCCTTTTTTTAAATTGTGTAGTGCAAGCAAAAACAAGAACAAAACCACCAACAGACTGCTCTCTGATGAGGAGCAACTCCTCATCATAAAAGCAGGAAACAGAAGTTTGTCCTTTTTTGATCTATTACAAAAGGATGACAGTAAGAACTTTTGTATTTTACCATAAAGGCTTAATTATAAAGCCTTCATAAAGTTTCAATAGCAGATTCAAATACAAATCTCAAGGCTGCAGGGATGTGGTCTTCTGCAAGTGCTAAACCACAAATTTTCATCCTTCTGAATTGAGATAAATTGGACTGCATTGTTTGCTTTCCCTTTTTGTGGGGTAACATAAGCAGTGCTCATCAACTGACTTAATATTGTACAGCCATATTATGCTCTTCTGCATCAGTTCTTTGGGTTGTCCCCCTTTACCTAGGAAGTACTCTTAAAAAATGAAATTTGCTTTAATCATGCATGATGTATATCCACCTGAAAGTGCTCATTAACCTATAAAGAAGATTCTGATGAGACAGAATGTAGAATTAAGAACACTGAGTCAGGGAACCTAAACATACCATTGGCATACTATTAAAGGTCTCTTTACAGTCCTACTGACAACAATTCCACTGGTTTAGGCCTCCTTTCTTGGAGAGAAATCTTCTAGATCACGGCACTGATCATGACATGCAGCACTAATTGTGTTGAATGCCGTGAACATGAAGTTCACCATGAATCAATAAACATGCAGAACAGTGAATTTCCAAACTAGTGCCATCTTCTTCCTCTAGACTCCAAATTATGCTCTGATTAAACTGCAGCCAGAAAGAAGCAGATGTTTCTCCAAATTATGGCTGCCAGAAAACTGTATCTCAGCACTCTCAGAAACATGAGGAGGCCATTTGCACAAGGAAACAGTGGAAGCAAAGGAAGCCGGTGACATGCGAGATAAGTATCCCTATCTACCTGAAAAGACTGTCTGTCACAAGCCTTGCTTTTGAAAGTGCACTGCTGAAAGAAAATCCAGCAATGACACTAGACCAAAACACATGAGAGAAAATAAAATGAAATACCTGCTGATTTATCTGTTGTTGATCCCTATTCTGAGCCCCTCTGTGGCTGAAAACCTAAAATTTACTTATTACACAGTAATACAGGAATCTGCAATGCAATGAACATGAGAAGTTGGCAAAGACAGCTATGTTTGTCACAGAGAAAAAGAAACCACAGTAAAGTCTCCTGTAACTGCAGAACACATAAGATTTCACACATGAATAGCAAAACTGATAACTGATTCTACTATTTATACCAAGGCAGAGCTTTAATATAGATTGTGTGACACTTTTAACCTCATTGGTTGCAATAGCTGCTTATGTATTTACAATTTTTTTCTAACAGAGAGATCTAGAAATACTCCAGATGATAAAGTGCCTACACTAGGTTGCATCTGTAGGCAAGGTTTCTGCTAAAACATCCACTGAAACCCTGGGAAGTTGTAACTAGCATAAGGGGGCAGGGAAAATTTTACTAAGTCCTTTTGAAACATTTAACCATGCATCATTACCAAAGGCAGATGTTGACTTTATTCATTAAGATTTAAATTATTTAAAATAATAGACTCACACAAGGTGCTAGAAAAGGACTGGTTTAAAAACAGGACAGTGATTGCTGGTGTTGGGTGCAGGAAATGCATTGTATTCATAATCAGTTTCTTTACCTGTTTCCACTGGGGTATGGGAGCAAGACGGCCCTGCTCTCGTCTGCTGGATGGTTGGTTGTGAACACGTTCTTGATAAGGCAGGGCAGGTTGCTGCATGCAGGTTGTAGGGAAAGTGGTTTGGGATCAAGGAGGAAAGACAAAATAGTAAAGGAAACTCAAAGAAAGCCAAAGGAATGGGATACAGAATAAGACAGACAAACATTTAAGAAAAAAAAAAATAGGGTAGGGGAGAATTCATTTAGCAAGTAAAATATAAAAAGGGAAAAAACATCCAAAAACGGGAAACTACCTATGGTTTTGGACCTTCCCTTTATTTTCATTGTTCCTTCAAATCAGCTTGGTTATTCCAACCAATATGTAGTGGCTGAGGAAACGTTTGACTGGTAAAGAGTGGGATAAACATCACCTTTTTGATACTGTTATACTACTAACACTGATGTGCAGTGTAGCACAGACATACTTAACCTGGCTTTAGAATAGCTAGGTCATGTCCCACTCACAACCCAGCCACGGCAGCACAGAGCTTGGCACAAGCTATGAAGACAGACTACGCAGCAGATCAAGAACTCAGGCACTTAAACCAATGCTGAGCCTTAGACTGCTGACACTGCACTGCTAGCAGTAGCTCGAAGTGACTCAATCTCACTTTAAAGACAACTACCCTGCAGTTGCAGCAGTTCAGATACCACCCTGAATAACCTGCAGTCATCAGGAAGCCTAACTTGGCATGGCACAAACATCCCAATTGCAAAGGAACTCCCAGGCATTTATCTGCTGCACTTACACACACATACAATCACAGTTCACAAGAACAAACAGATATAACCTGGCAAAGTTCAAATCAGAAATTAAATGATAGTTCTTAAACATTAGAAATGGGATACTCCTGGAAAGCTTTTCAGTAGCAATAGTAGTTATAAAAGAACTAATTACTGGTAAGATGTTTTTGAAAGAGATTATATAACATAATATGGGCAATAACAGAAATAGACTTTCATTAGGAAGTTCTTCTCTATCCCATTCTCCTAAATCTAAAATTTTTCTCTTTTGAGTAAGCTTCACTCTTCTCTAGGAGAGCCTTTGAAGTAGAAGAGCACCACTAGCATCCTCCCTCAAAGAATGCATGTTATTATTAATGATTTTCCCCCGTAATTCCAAAATACAGGGGTTTATTATCCATCTCCTACCTGTCTTCGTAAGCTTGAGGACTGCGCTGGTGCGTTCTCCTCAAACTTGGCCAGTAGCTGGGTTGCCATAGACTTGACTTTGTTCTGATTCCCAATGGCAGCATCAATTCTTCTCTCTGTTAGGGCGCTCACCAGCGTGGGCCTTTCTTCTCTGTAGCTTCGCGGGATGTCCTCCTAACAATCACCAATATCAAAATTTAACAATATGCAACCGGATCACCTTTTCTGCTCTACCCCTTTGCTCTGATAGGTTTCTAACACTGTAAAAACCAAATCTATTAGTCTGCACTTGAAAGCTCACATTTTAATTTCCTTTGGCATGTCATCGAAAGTTCTGTTAAACTTTACTTATCTTTTCAACCTTATTTGATACACTTACCTACCAAAGAGACCACAGTTGAAACACTCCCATGAATCCACTGAGACAAAGCAAAGGTCTGTCTTCATCAAAGCACTCAAATTTTAACTCACTTGTACCTGTTTGGCTATAAACATTTCAAGTGAAGGACTGTCTCATGGGGCCTATTAGAAATGTATGCTTTTTGCACTAACCAAGGCTAAAGTTTAAATATGAATGAAAATTCTGACTATACTGCATGACTTTACTAAATGAAAGTTTTATCCTTAGTGTCCTCATCAAAGTAAATTGCAATAAAAATAAAATAAGAGGGAACTGCAGCATTTCATTTGTTGTGTACTATTCTTTCATAAGCATCAGCATTTCATAATCATCAGTATTTGCACTATAGCTATGACAAAGCGTAGCCTCTGAAGAATAATTAATTTTTATCTTAAAAAAAAAAGTTATGTAGACCCTGTCTGGATGTAGAAAATGAAAGGACTGAAGCAGAAACAAGGAACCTACCACATGTTTTCCTCCCTGACACCTTCCTCACTGTGATACTTACATCCTCAGACTGGCTGGTTTTTCTCCTCTTTCCTGCACCTTCCAGTTCCTTTTCTTTTTTGTCCTGAAAATGGAAGGAGGAGGGGGAAAAAAACAGTAAGGCTTCTCATACCTTTCTGGCCTGAGATAAAGGTCATCAGTGCACTTAAATACGCTTTGCAACACAACAGATTAATTCTCTGGGCTCATTCTCCATTTGTTTAAGGGGATTCTTACCTTCAAGTTGGACATTCTTCAACACTTTCAACTAACTGGGAACTGAGCAACCCATTATGTTCCAATACAAAATATATCCCCAAATATTACTGCAAGACTGGGATTTCAAGACTGAAATATACCACTAATTGAGAGTACATATTATGGATGTAATTCTGCAGTTGCGTCACGTATTGTCCCATGCCAAGAGCTGATGAACACATGGTAAATGCATAGCAGATACACACACATACATTTTTAGTATCACCTACTTGAACAGCAGCCTAACAATGCTATCAAGACTGTGGTATGGTTACCTTTGGAGTGCGTTTCCGAGAGATGCTTTGTCCCAGTTTACTGAGAAAAGAGATGGGCGATTTGGTACTGGCAATTAGGGCAGCTTTTTCTTCTGCATTCAGGTCCAGACTATCTGCTAGCAAAAACAGGTAGGATGAGGGAATACCAAGAAATTACTTCTATGGTACTATTATTAACTGAATGACTCACTGATTATTTTTTTTTAACATAACACTCTTCAATTCACTGTACAAAATGATAGTAATGTCCAGAATTAATACCCTTCTCAGCTACCATGCTTTTTCATTTTCCCAAAATAATTTCTCCTTTCAGGGTTTATAATCACCCAGAATAAATACTGTGTTTGTTTACTCTATTCACTTTCATAGTTCAAGAGCATCAGGATCATCAGTATTCTTAAGAAGCGTTCGGTGTTTGGAAAACAATACCCGACACATACCGTATTTTTAAATACATTTCTTTTTCCCCACCAGGAATGATAGACTTGAACTAAGATCACCAGTAATAAAGAAACAGCTATAACAATATTATTAATATTTAAGGGTAGGCCATTTGATTTGTATTAGGCAATTACATCTTTCAGTTCTAATCAAAGATCTTTCATTCCTCATTGGCCCGAAGTTACTCTCACCATTCATGGATATAAACAGATAATAAATAGATATAAAATAGATAGATGGATATAAAACTTGGCCAGTGTTTTGAAATTACCTACTAAACAACTACTAGGAAGGCAAATGAACTCCTAATAATAGCAAGAAAGCAGACAAGTTACCTAGTAGTGCTGAGGTGAGTTTAGAACTTTTGAGGACATTATTTTGAGAACATTATTTTGTATTAACTCATATTTTTTGCTTCTGATGTTGCTAACATGGTCTTTATCAGCACCAATAAGAAATCAACTTTTGTAATATAAAGTTAATGAGTGACTAGTATGAGCTTACGCAGAAGAAGCATGAAGATAACTGAAGCGCACACATTCATCCTGAAACTGTCTTTAAATCTGAGACCTGCCCCAAACTCCTTACCGCTAGAGGGGATGGTGTCTTTGAACATCTCATAGAACTGTGTAAGGTACATCACCATCGACAATTTATCTGGCTCTCCGACAGATGCCATTTCCTTTCCAGTCATAATGGGAGATATTCCAAACTCTTTTTCAGCGATGTCAAAGGCCAGCTGGTTATTCTTCTCCACATTGTGCTCATCCAAAGAATCAAAGTCTCTGCAAAGGGCAGAAAGACAGCATACGCTGAATCAACTAGAAACCAATCTTCTGAAAGAACTCAGGGATCCATCTTCTTTTTTTTTTTTCTCCAAAATCTCTCTAATTTATTTGCCAGCGACCTTTTCATATTGCAGAGTTGATACTACTTAATTATGGTGAACTCTGGCTTAAAAGTATTCTTTTTCCATTTTTTGCTCCTTCTCCAAACCCAGATTTTTCTTCTTAAAAACTTTATTACCCTCTGAAATATATCTTCACTTCCTCCTTTGCTGGAAGACTGTACTGTTTTCCCCTACATAAAATCTCTTGTGGGCTTGGAACTAAATTAAGTCATCATTTTTGTCCCCTTTTTTCCGGACTGATCCATATTTTAGTTCTCCTGACTTTTTCCAAAACTTGTAGAACAATATAAAAACTATATAAAAAGCAATAGCTTGTAGAGAGTTATATAATCCATTTTATAAGTTATTTGAATTCTCCACAAGCTATATAGCTATTAAAAATAGTAGCTCAGGTTAACTCAAGTACACCAGTAGATAAGTAATTCAGTGCACATGGGAAGGGAATAACCAAGTAATTTTTCAGCATGCTTTACATTGGATTATGTCTTTAAGTACAGCTCTAGTATTATTTTTTCTAATGTCCCTTTGGGAAGTTGAAGACATTTCAGATTTCAATTAAAGTACCAGAGTCTTTGCTCTGGTTACTTTGCGTTACTTCTTCCATGCAGTGTTTTCCTATTCTAGAATCTGGGCACTGTTTTACCCAATATATCATGCAAGAGGACGCCTCTCGCATTCATCCAATCAGCATGTTAGTGCACAAACAGTAGCAACGTCTCTATTTAGATTGTGGGTCACTACTTCTAAAAAGAGCAGCCTAAAAGTCTTTAAAAAGAGTTACTTTTGTTACTGTTAAACAGGAGATTTATAAAGGGCTGTGTAGAGACTGGTTCATGAGAAATTTAACTGAAGCTATGAACTGTTCCTGACTAACTTGATGGAGAAAAGAGCTGTCAATCAATAATGCTTTCCAGTCAGTACCAATTTGAAGCTTAATTCTGTCAAATCATCCAGAAGCAAAAATGACAACACATTTACCTTCATATTCATCAAGCTATTATGACCTTCCACTCTGCTGGTGAATCACCATACGTTAGCTTCTATCAAGTTTAATTGAATTCATTTCAATCCATTTCTCCGTAAGTCACAAATGCATTGCCTCAGTCTCCATACTATTAGTTCCAAATATCACTAATGTTCTGCTCTTTCCAGTTATTCAGAACAGCCAGTTACTCACATTAAGTCTGGACGGTATCTGTGGATAATGGCACACAAAGCTAGGCCACTTTTCCATGACATCGTGAGATCTGTCACATTTACACCAGCATATCCATCAGTCTGTCTCTGGCACCAACTGAGCAATTTACTAGAGCGAGCTACAGACTCTGTAAGAAATCACATTTTTAAAGTAAAAATGTACAACATCTCTTTCATGAATTCTAAAACCAACATAAACCCCATGAATCAACAAATAAAATCTTCATGTAGACAACAAGCTCCTTCTACAATGAGCAATAGAGGACAGAGTTTTGGGTTTTTTTTTAAAAAAGAATCTCTATTTTGGATCCAAGGAAGTATTTTTAATTTGCTAAAAAGTAATTATCTAAGTTATGACATGCCAAGCTTTTCACCCTAGCCCTTGTAAAAGAGCCCTAGGAATTATAAAACAGTCACAAAGGCTTGTTTTAAACATGATCAAAAGGATATACAGTAGTACAAATGCTCTCTAAAGCTCAGATATACTATTTCTAATGGAAGAACTACAAATGTGCTGCTGCAACTTTTTCTTTTCTCTTGAAAGCTTTCCTTTAAAAGCATTGACCTGTTTTGACCTTGCCTTACTGCAAGATCTGATGAGATTACAGCCTAAAGGGACGTGGGTGCAGGCCAAAGAACAAATCAAAAGACTACACAGCTATTCAGCAGTGAAAGGGATGCTTAGCAGCAAAGTGCCATTCTGAGAGTCTCCAAACACTACCTGGACATCCAAAGGCAAGGTGTGCGAAAGGAAAAGTTCAACATGCCCCTCAGGGAACCCGACAAGTAGACAGATACCGAAATGCTTATCACAAGGCATCTAATTTTCAGAATAATGCAAGCAAAGTGAGGTTTCATTTAGTTAAGCTAAGAGATGAGATTAAGTAAAGGAAAGCATGAACATGAAAGACTGGACAAGAAATTACCTTCTGTTATGTTTGTGACAATTCTGACTTTACTGTTTGAGTGAATTCAGGCTACGCTTCTGCACTCTAAGGATATTATTATATGATAAAGGAGGTGAAAAAATGCTTGCATAAGCAAATATGCTTAGAAATATAACAGCATTATAAAGCAAGGGAAATCAGGCAAACAAAAATGCATTTACATGTTAACTGAAACTTGAAAAATTGCTAAATCAGACTATTGACAAAACAATTGCTGGATACTTTTTCTGAATCAAAAGAGACTGGTTAAGTAATACTTTAGAGCCTTGCTGCTCTATGTCCTGCACTGATCCAGCTCCAGAATACTGAAAGGAATGGAGCAGTAGCCAGGCCTACCATTCCGAGTCAGCTTTGGTGTCCTGGAGTTCACAAAGTTCTCTATTTCCAGGTGAATGTCTTTCAAGTCTCCTGTATTATACAAGTGGCGTACCTAAAATAACACCAAAAAATTAAAAATTACCAACGTGGCATGCAACCAAGATCCATACAGAAAAAGGAGGACAAGAAGGAATCATCCCAAAGCACACAAAGGAAGACAAGTACACTTATGTAGCAGAAATCTCTAGTCCAACAACCCCAGAACAATACAGAACAGCTGGTCAGTGCCAAACAGTCTAGCTGACTGCTGCTGCTCAGTAGACACCAAATTGCAATGGCAATGCTATACTAGATTATTACAAAGAAAATGCACATGCGTGCACACACACACACACGTATAGATTTCATGTATCATTACAGCAAAGTTAAAACTGTCAAAATAAAAAATTCCTAAACAGTAATTTGTTAAAGTATGGAGGTCTACTCTTGACTGCTTTTCACTGCTTCCATGCTATACTGAAACATCAGGTCACTCTCTGTTCTCAAAACATTAGCATAGCTTCACCCAAGGAAAGACAATGCAGATCGCAAGCATTCAGAAGCACCATTTCTCCAGTTACCTGCTGTGGCCGCAAGAAGTTGACGTTGATATTGGGATACCGGGTGGCGGGATCAATGCTGTAATGGCTGAAGTTTTTACTCACATTCTCAGGAGTGGTCTGAGGCAGTAGCCTATAAATGCTTTCCCTTCAGAAAATAAAATTAAAAAAAAGTTTGGGGTTTTGTTTTGGTTGGTTTGTTTGGTTTAGGTTTTGTGGGTTGTGGTTTTTTGTAGGTTTTTTTTTTTGAAGAGATGCATCACTACTAATACTGCTAAGTCAACCCTGGAGACATAAACATTCAGATCAGAAATCTAACCACTTCAGACACTGAATAGCTAAGTTTCAGTATAAGTGTATTAAAATCTGAAATTTAATAATATATAACTCCAGAAATCAAAAGGAAGGAAGAAAACAATACATCAAGCCTAACTGAAAGGGTTCCCCGGTACATGAAAGACACTGAGACACTGGAGCTACTCAGGAAGAAGGCCACCAAGGGGACTGGAGCACTTGCCCTGTGAGGAGAGACCAAGGGAACCTGGTTTGTTCAGTGTGCAGGAGAGAAGGATCAAGGAAGATCTTACTGCTGTCTGCAAATGTCTAATGGGAAAATGATAGAAGTCTGGCTCCAGCTGCAACATTATCTTCACCATTTTTTGGAATTCAAACAAATGGAACTTTAAATACCCATTGTGCCACTTATACAATTTTTAAAATGATACCATGGTTCCTGATGGTCAGAAGCTGTAGTTGCTTAAGTTTAAAATAAGTTCTATTAGACTCACTCCATCCTTTAGTTGCCCAAGTTCTGACTTATAAGTTATCACTTCGAGTCACCAAAACAACACTCAACCAAAGATGATAAAAACATCCAGAACTCAATACTCCAAAGAAACACAAGATGTTGTTTGGCTTATATGAAACAAAGTGATCAATTTAGGAGAACATGAAATAAAAGTAGGTCTTAGCTTCCTTCAAAGAAAATCGTAAGAGATATTTACAAGGTAATTAGGGGATGGCAAGAACTTTTGCCTCTGGTACCTTAAAGGCACCTACATCTTCATCTGCTTTGCTATTGCAAGGCTGGTGACAGTTAAGTCAGGCTCGCTTTCTCCATGTAGTATCAGTAAGCACCAAAAAAAGATTCTTTGTCTAATCTGCTTTTAAAACTAGGACCAAGAACAGATGTGATATTTCTTATTCCTCTATAAATATACTTCAGTTTATCAGCTCCTTACGAAATTTTTTTTGATTAAATTATACCCACAAGCATCCTCTAAAAACAGTGAGCATTTGTGTCTCCCTTTTGTACTAGAAGAAACTGGAATGAATGATGAGATGTTGGAGGATTAGACTAGAACTGAAAGCATAGTCGTTTTCTCTATTACCTCTCTGCAAGAACTTCCAAAGGACTGGCTCCGAGTGACCAACTTCGTACCATCCAAGCAGAGTCCATTGCAGCCAAAAATCCCCTGGCTATTCCAGTTCCCATTGGCCAAAATGGCTAATATTACAGTTTACAAAAAAAAGCAGAGAAAGGAAAAGCATCAGTTATGGAAAATTTCAAACAATCAAATATATCAAGAACATATTTAGAAGATAATCTGCTGGGAAATGATAGCTCAGTAATTAGCTTAAAGCTCCACTCCCACTGGGCTAGAGGAAGCCAGATGTACAGTGAATTGCCCATGAGCTCCCCCAAAGCCAGTGCTCTTCTATTCCCAACAACAATTCATAGCCTGGAGTGCCTTAACAGCTTCTCTTCAATACTGTATTTTTTAACCAAGTACAAAATGCTAATTATTAACAGGCCTACAGTAGGTTCTGTAGAGAGTCTAATTGTCCCAATAAGAAGCAGATGGAACAGACATAACTTCAGAAACCTCTGCACAGATTTTTGTAAGCAAGATCATCGCCACCCTAAATAATCTGTTTTCCCAACACTCCCACCCTTCCTTCAAACTTCCCACTTTATTATATAATAAACAGCAGCTTTCCTTGTAGTAAATATCTTATAGGCAGCGCATATTCTGGTGATGGGTGCCATGGCTTTTGCTTATGCTTCAATTCACTGTTTATACATGGTAAGTTTAAAACACAAACCTCTAAAAGGCTGTCCCCAACCAGTGCCACAAGTAACTGGTGGCCATTCTGCTCTCGCACCAGGGCTGCGTTCTCCGATGCATACATGCACGTGAAGTCAAACATGGCCACATCTGGCTGGCCATAGTGATTGATGGCAAAGTCCAGCGATGGCAGCTGCTGATTAGTGGAGAAGTCAGCTGCTTCTCTGGCATAGTTTAGCAGAGCATCCTGGTCCACATTCTCCCGTGAGAGTAGTAACTCTGTGTCAGCGTAATCCTGCCAAAAAGAGAAAATTAAAAGTGAAATAGCCAAATCCACAAATTTATTTTAAGACTGGTATATACAATAGTTGGCCTTAAAACTCCTGCAAACCCACTGATACAGGTTTGCCCTCTAATTTCTTTCATTGCTATCTGTGTTTATGCTTCCAAGAGAAAATTTGTAAATTTTTATTGCAAAAAGTAGTCAGTCCTACTAGGATTTTTGACTGTGAAAAGCCTAAGAAACTTCTGAGCACTTCTCTTCACACTCTTCAGACAAAAGACACAGGACCCCAGTCCTTATTTATTCATCTGTGGCCAAACTACTTTTAAATCAGCTTCTGTCAAAATTAGGTATATTTCCAATACTTTCTTCACTCCCTGTGGTTTCATTCCCATAAAATGAGGGAAGCTCAACTAAGCTATCAATGGTTCTTTAAGTGTATTTTTTCTTATCATTCAAGAAACCCCCAAATCCACAAAGGAATACAAATTTGGACAGAATACATCTTGTAACACTCTTCTGATGGCCCAAAATACTTCAGAAGGGCTTTAACCACATGTATTTGTGGTCTCAAATACACCTGTGGTGAAAGAAGAGGGAGTTTCCCTTCTTTCAGCATACTGAAAGCAAATTGTACCAAAATCTCAGTACATAGAGCGCACAGGAAAAGTTAATACCCACATGCCGTATCACTCCTTTTTCCAGCAAGCTCTGTTTTTTGGCAGTCATGACAAAGTAGTGTGTATCGTCTTTGTAGTAGACAATGTTCTCCAAGTCAATACCTTGTGACAGAACAAAACACATGGTAATGAAGGAAAAAATTACATGTCACATGTAACACAAGAGTTGTACTGGAAGAAAGTAAATTGAAACCCTGTGGTTAGAAAGCCTTAGAGAGAGAATGCCAAGCAGCTTTCTCCCATGCTTTTGATGACTTTAAAATATGAATCTTCAACAAAACCACCACCAGCACATTACACCTGCATATAGCTACCTTTTTTAAAAAAATATATTTATCATCACTCTGAAGTTTGCATTCAGATGTGGAGCGCAGGAAACTGAACTCAGGATTTAGACCTTTCCTATTTAGGGCTCAGATATCCTGAAAACCTTCTGGGAAATAAGTTCTCCACTTCTGAACAAAAATGAAACACATCTGAATGATACACATCTGTACAGAACAGCTGTAAAAATGGGGAAGTCAGATTTCAAAGAGACACAGCAATGACTGACCTCCTTGCACAAGACGTTCATTTGTTGATTAAACATGATTCCTGAATTGCAAAGTTATAATAATAAAGACAAATAGTTTTCACTGGAAATCTGGCAATTGCTGGCAAACCTGTGGCTTCTCGTAGATCCTGGAAGAACTTCTGGTTGAATATGAAGGCCACACCGCTGATCTCTTCTACTTTGGCTTCAGCTGTGGTGTTGCGATTGATGAAGTTTGCTGTGATAGCAATTGCTAGTTTACCACGGAACTCTTTTCGGCGAAACCCTATGGGGCAAGGATAAAGTAGTAACAGTGAGAAATAGAGCATACCTTCAGAGAAGGCATAGCATGTCATAGACAGATGCCCTCATAAAATAAAGAGAGAATGGATCTGATGACTTACAAACTCCTGCACAGAGAAAGCAACAATTGCTTCACCAGAAAAATAAAAGCTCTTGTTTAGAGAAAAAGCTCCCCTCTCTTTCTTACCTCTTTTCCAAAAATTGCAACTTGCATCAAAAATTTTAAGATAGAATTCTCTACAACACAGAATAACACTTAACACTTCAATTCCTACTCCCAAAAGTAAGAGCTACAACACTATTCAACTAAAGAAACAATGTAGGAACAATTATCCAGGTCAAAACACCTAATTCCATTGCTAGTGGATAGGAAGAGGAAAAAGATGACCAACATGTCTGATACAAATGGATTTTTACATGGACTTTCAACCTCCCCTTTCACTAATCAAATGTCTTTCCAGATTTTCATTGGGATGTTAACAGACATTTTTGTTCTAATTAATTTAAGAATAAGTTCTATTTGAAAGCAAGTTACAGACACACCATTACCTTCTAATGTGTTCCTCCTGCCATCCCCTCCAATGATTACTTCAAACTCATACTCAGATACTGGATGGGTTTTTGGGTGGACCAATGCACGCCAACCTATTCCTGTTCATAAACTCCAAGTTAATGACAACAGAAACAGTGATTATAATAGAACAAATACATAAAACCACTTCTTACTATCCATAACCCCTTCCTCACATGGGCAGTAAAGATAGACTGCAGGACAGCTATATTGTTGACAGGGCTATTGGTGACTTGCACAGCCACTCTCTGTGAATTAGAGGCAGACACAGCTCTGGCAACCCCCGCCCCGACTATTGGCTTTAAGGATCACCACAACCTTTATAGCTTGTCTGCTATCTATTCAATTAATAGGATGCCAAAAAACAAGCAAGCCACCATCTCCCATGGTGATCAGAAAACAGGCTTCACAAAGATACAAAAAGCATAACATGGATCACTCACTGATGTAAATATCTTCAGTGAATGCAAGGAAAGGAGTTGTTTTAAAAAGGTATCTTCTAAGTGTAATAGGCTTAAATATTTTAGGAGCAATTACGATCTACTGTGTCATGGTCTATTTCTGTATAGTACTTCAGGTGATTTTGTTTTACATAGTAACTAATTTGGATTTGTCACTAGGAAGAATAAATCCCACTAAAAATTCAACTAAAAGAGCATTAATAATTACTCTCATTAATGGAGCGTGAGGAAAGGACTGAAGAGTCATAAGCAGTGTTAAGGAGCAGGAGTCTGTGTATCCTACCAACTTCCCCTTGCTCTACTACCCGTTTCAATGCTACTTGCTTTCATTCTCCTGATCCTCCGGAGGGTAAACAAGCCCCTGAAATTCCACATTGACATGGATCTCTATTCCCAAGATCAAGGCAACCTTCAAAAGGATAAGCTGGAGCTGACGGATACCTGCAAAAGAGCAGATGATAAAGAAATAAAACAAAAAGAGCACAAGAGCCTACATGTCTCTGTTTGACATTACTTGATAAACGGATTTAAAGGCTGGCTACTAGTTTCTTTTTCCCCCACTGTGTTCCCATCACTGGTGTGTAATAACATGGCATGCCAAGAAACTTCTATATAGCTGAAACCCCAGCCCTTTTCAAAGAATAAAAAGTAAATAATTTTTTTATGTTTCAGTCCCCAAATCAGCAACAAGGGAAACAATCAGAACATGCACTGCAGGAGAAGGAGGGAAGAGAGCACAAGCAGGATGGCACTTTCGTCACAGATGGCACCTAGCCATTTGATCAGCCTAGCTGTAATACTGAGCTGCACCTTCATACTAACACCTCTGGGTTAGTGAGGGCATAGTAAATTCCTCACCATCTCTTTCCTCTTCAGTTAATGTAAGTAGCAGGTATGAAAATGACAGTGTGCAAAATCTATGAATTTGAAGGAAGACACCTTACTGTCATATTTCAGATACTGAAATGAAAAAATGCTCCACCTAAACACTAAACTTCAGCTGTGCTGGGATACAAAAGACAACCTGCATAACATACTGGGAGAATAAACATGACAAGAACTTGAAAGGGAAAAAGCAATCTGCAAGACTGATGTTCCAAAGATCTTCCAGTTTTACCATTCATTGACAAAAAAAAAAACCCAAAAAGCAGATTTTGCTTTGGACAAGAAGCCAAATCTTATCTATCTACTACATTTGTGCCATTTTATACCTCCCACTTATGCCCAGTGGAGAACACAGACTGGTGGGCAAAACCCAACTGTGTCATGTCCAGTAAATTTTTGAAAAAAAAAAAAACCTAAAAAATAAGAACTCCTGCTCTACCAAAGCATTCAGCTTTCAAAGGAGACTGATTTCTCAGAATTTGAGAATCATCAAAATTACTCTCAATTTTAGTATGTAAAGCTCTATTTAATCAAAACTTATTCATAGGCTGTGTTCTTGAAAATGTCTTCATCAGTCTTCCAAAAATTAACAAAGCCAAAATTGTTCTTCCTTTTTCCAGATCAACATTCACAAGAATGTTCAAAAGCATTCCGTAATTTTTCTCTTTTACAACTCACTTACAATGCTCAAGGGAAACAGAATAATGTGGTAGCTGCAGGAATGTAACAGCAAAAATATGAAAATTATCCATCAAAAAAAGAAAAAAAGGTTTGAACATTAACTGTACTTTTCAGTTTAGGAGAAAGATATCCCTTGGAAAGTAGTAGGTGTAAAAGATGATAGATACATATCGCATGTGTGATAATCTCATGGCACAATATATTCCTTTCACATCTAGGTCTAGCCCAAAATGCACTATGCAAAGGTAATGCTGAGTTGTACTGCAAGGACTTGAGAGCAGTGATTGGTGTAAGCTGAATTTTAAAGAGTTACCCCCATGCCCTCACCCACTTTTCCCCTACGAAGAACAAGTGCTGCTGTGTCTAGCAGCAGCTGTACTTACTGATATGGTCTATAGATCCCGCACAGAATTTGCCGTAAAACTTTTTGGCGCCAAGACCCCTCAAGTCATGTATGGTGAATGGCCACAAATGCAGCACATTATTGCGGGAAAAGGCATCCCTCTTTTCTATGACCACCACCTTGGCTCCTAGGAATGACAGGTCGATAGCTGTACGAAGGCCACAGGGTCCAGCCCCAATTATCAGACACTGCAAAACAAGCAGCACAGAGTAACTTTACAGGCCTAGGAGGAAAAAGATATTTTTACCACAGCTTCTAAGCATCGCAGGGCTCTTAGGAGTAAGTGCTCTCTGTCTGCAACATAAGCTGAAATTTCAGATTAGCCTTTCTATTGTTACCTGCCAAGCTCTGCCACTGATCCGTTAAAGCAGTTGCTACAACCTGAAAACAAAGCATATCTCAGAGCAGTGAGAAGTTTGGAGAAGCAGGCAAGTCACATGCCTCTTTTAAACTCTTGTTTTAAGAAGACATGCCAAGGCATATTCTCCAAGCTATGCGATCACCTGGAGAACAATATTTCTGAAAGCTTCTCCCCCCTCATTCCATCCATGTGCTTTTTTTCTTTAAAAGAAAAAAAAAAAAAAAAAAGACATGATGTACTGTTTTCCTCTTATCTTCCAAAGCCTGAGCCGGCCTTTCTTGAGATCTTCAGTAACATAAAAATTCCTCCTCATCACTGAGTAGTATAGCAACAGCTAAGGCAGATAAATACAAGAGATGCTAGTATTTTTAGAACCATCATCATTTAGAGTAGCACAGACAGCAGTCAAGTCAAAGCACTCTAACTTATGCCTGTGTTGGCGCTTCTACTATTGCAGCAAAGGAAACTTCAGGAAAGTAGATGTAACGTAAATACGATCTTTGTGTGACTAGCCAACTTTTATCAAAATACATTTTCTCCAGCCTAACCCTTGTCATATCAAAGGTCTTTCATCTTCTCATATCTTCTTCCACTCTACTCACGAACACTATTAGAGGCTAATAAAAAACTTGAGAACGTAAAACACTTGCATATCTAGTGTTGGAAATACTTTCAGAGAAACAAATGATACAGCAAGATCATTTCTTTTAAGATTAAAAACCCAAGATAGTTGACACTTCTTACCCACAGAAACTGAGGTCCACCAAAAAAGCTGGCATGGTTATGTGAGTTCACAGGAATATAGTACACAGTCCATTTTGTCATATCATTTTCGTACTTTGACTTCTATCAAGCATAAACCAGACCCACAGAATAAAGGCCTTGCTACAGTGGTGACTGCTGCTGCCATGGGAGTATTTTCCAGATCCTTACATACCCTTATGGCTAGACAACAAAGTCCTTTGAGAAATTCTTAAGTATGCTAAAAGTTAACTAGAACCCAACCTTTTAACAAACAGCCTATCCCAAAGCAAAGCTCTTTTTTCCTTGGTTGTCCCCATATGCCAATTTTTACAGGTTGCCTCATTTTCACCAGTTATTCACTGGGGCATAAATTCTGCAAATGATGTGAAACTGCAATTATAAAGCCTGAATGATAAACACAACAGTACAAGTTACAGCAGTCATGACACAACAACTGACATGCAAATTCAAAGTAAGACTACTGTATAAGATAAGAAGTCACATAAATCTGAGGGCGGAGATCCAAATCTAGAGGAAAGGGAAGAATAACAGCACTGCTTCTTTAATAGCTTCAGGCACCTGAAGACATATGGGAGAAAAGGCAAGCCCAACCACTGAGCTATTAAATTCCAAAATAGACTTGTATATTGAACAGGTGTCCAACCTGTCTTTGTTAGAAGGGATAATCAATTAGGATCTAATATATTCTTCTAATTTAATATTGTTTTCTCTGTGGGTAAGTATGACTCTCAAACACCACCTAGTCTTTCTTTTTTTTAAACTCGTAAGAAAATTAGCTAAGCCTATCACATTTATTCAAGCAATAATTTTGCTCATCTGACAACTACAATCTTTAAAGAAACCGGATTCAAGAAGCAACAAGACCACATTGAGTTGGGTGACTTATTCTTTGATAACTTTCCCCATATAAAATAGTTATGATGGAGTGCACAACAGCAAAGGAATTGTACTAAAATCAGACTGACTATTCAAACTCAGGTCTATGTAATCAAATTACAAATTCATTGTCTGTAATTTTGTCATAGAAATGTAAAAACTTTTTTTTTCTCTACAACGTTCCACCCTGTCCTCAAAGAAGAATGTGGTTAGCAACATCTAGGTTATGTTTAAGACTCTAGATGTTCTGGATGTAAAGTATATGATACACAGTGAAGTAATTCATGGCCAAAGTTGCCTTTTTTTTTTTACCATCACAAAATTATTAAATTATGTTGTTAAAAAGCACAGTGAGTTTTAAGCACAATTAAAAACAGAAGAAAAAATTCTGTTCCTTTTTCTACCTCTACAGTTTCAGACCTCTCACAGAAACCTACCTTCTGAGCCTCTCACAGGCAGCAGCAACTACATGAGATGCCAAGTAAAGGCAGCTACTGCTGTTCCTTATTCCCTTTCCCATTAGTGACTCCAAGCAACTGCTACAACTCCATACACTAAAGCGGTCTCAGCCCTCAGAATCACTTGCTCAAGATCTTTCAGACAGATTATGTTAAGTTTTCAGTAACAACACCATAGTGATGGAACATTAAACGCAAACTGAAATCCTGTATTCTCTGTATAACCAATGAAGAGAGAGCACCATTTGTAACTATTTGTATCCGAACAACCCATCACGTCCAAGTCTTGCTTTCATGAATGCTGATTATCTGAATTCTGGCTAACCTGGACGCAGGCCATGCCATGCACTAACTGCCTAACTACTGCCCAACTCCAGCCATGACACTTCACCCCGACCAATTTTTAAATGGACAAGTAAGAGCTATGCTACAGAGGATGAGAACTTCAAAACTGGTATATGCTCAAGTATATAGAAGCTGAGCTTACTAAGGAAATTACTGACTTCTGTTCTGATAACATAGCTAAAACCCTAATCTTTATTTTAAATTCTATCATCTCTACATGCACACTTACATTTCTGTATTTTTTAATCAGTGGTTTGCAAACTACATTAAACATTAGAAATATAACGCTAAGTAAAATAGGAAATATCAAACCAGATATGATTCAGTTCTCAAAGGGCCTCTCCTTTGAATAGTTCTGATTATCTCTTAGGAATTACATATAAATATTTAATGGCAGACACTACTAGGACAGGAAACAAGTAATTAACAGAAACATATATGAAAAATACAAAAAGCATACACATATTTATAATCTCTTTAACATTAAGAATTTCAACAAATTTTGTATGCAAAGCCATACAAAAATAATTTATCATCATAAGTATATATTCTTTAAGACATACTGACAAAAAAAATGTAACTAAATTTCACTTTCTCTCAGCTACTAATTTCACTGCTCAAAATGGAGTGAATCCCAAATCCTCAGTCCTATACATTTCTGAGTTGGGGCGCAGGGGGCGCCAGCTTTAATTTATTCACCATGCACCCCTTCTACCTCCAGTTTCTATACAGCATCTCACCAATGGCTTCTTAGAAACACTGGGAAATTACTCTCTGGCTTGCCTCCACTCCCCTTACTTTTTTCCTTTACTCTCTCTCTTCTTGTCACCCACACACAGAGAGCAGCTACAAAAGCCCTGCCTTTCCTCTAGTAGAGACCAGTTCAGCGTGATCACTGACATGTCCACTCCAGTCATTTCCCCCTCCCACCCCTCTGGTCCTTAACACCAACACCAGTGAGTCCTGTGGTTTCTCTCTCATCATCATATGAGGGAGAGTCATGCATGACCCCCTGAGTCTCTCTTGTTTAACTGACCACCATCTCATCTCCACGATCACCGCACACCACTTCTATAATCACTCTCTTGATCCTGTTTCTCCAATTCCATCCTACACTCTCTCTAGCTTGGCTTTGGTGCACGAAATAGGCTAAGCTTTGGGACTACACAAAATCTCTAGTAAACTCTTTAGTCAACCATCACTCCCGCTACACTTTACCTGTTCTAATTTTATCATATTCCACGCCATCTTCCTTTTTTAAAAACAAGAGTGTATGATTATTTGCAAAAATAACCTATTCCATTCACATTTTGATGAATGATCTAAAGAACCACTTGCAGTAACAAGACAAATAAATATGCTTTTACTTTTCAACTGCACTTCAAGAGATGTTTTACAGACAGTTGGCTATGTGTATTTCTTGAAAGCGTGTCCTTTGCTGATTTCTTTCAAGACTCAGTACTTCTCTATGTCTCCAGCTATTCTTTCAGAGCACTATCTGAAGAATTTCCCTCATTTGTCCCACTTCTCTCACCGTCAGCTTCCCACAGGGCTTCACCCGTCATCTCTTTATCATCTTCCTCTACAATTTGCCTTTGCACCACCTCATTCACAGGCACTGGTTCAATCAGCTTGTCAGTGTTGTAGACTCACAGAACTTTTCCAACTCAAAGTTGACTATTTTTTGTCCAAGCTAAAGTCTCTACCTTTCTGACAGCTCCTCATGGCTGCCTAGTTGACAGTTCAAGCCCAACATGATAAAACAGAGCTCTAACATCCTTCTAAACTCACCTCATCACTTCCCTTCTAGATAAGTGTCACAATCAATTTTCTGAATGTCTTTCATAGCTGGTTGTCAACCTCCACTCATACCTATTTTTTGTACGTCCTCATAATCAAGCACTATGAAAGTCATACACTTACTCTTCCATTAAATCTCTTCTTTCATGTTGCATCTCTATTATCGATGCAACCTTTTCTTCAGTGTTAACAAATACAGTCTTGCCCACTAAGACTATTTAGAACCCGGATGCAAAATCAGTCCTTTAGTCTTTTACTTCAAATAAGTTAGAATACCTCTACATTCTTCCCACAGCTTTCTCAGTCTCTTTCTCATTGAAACATAAGCCACCTGACTTCATTTCACAGCCTTCAACACCCCATTTCAGTTCTACCCATCATGCAGGTTTCATTCAAAATAAGACCAATTCCTGAATCCAAGTCAAGTTTTCAGAAAAATAATTTTGAATTTTTTCCCACAATGTCCACAGTGCCTGGAAGGTTTATTATTAAATACACACAAAAATCACTACATTTATCTTCCTACAAGTCCCTCCTTTCTTATGCTGCCCGAAAAATATAAAACTTAACAGTGGCTGGACTTTTGGAGTGTTGAAGCTAGGGCCCACCATGACGGCCAACACTGCCCAATTGTTTTATTGTTTTCCAAGTAAATCTATATGCACCCGTTATCTATAATCTGATGTACCAACTGTAAACTTTTTGAGGAAAGCATTATCTTATCAAGACCTAGACCAAATAGACCTTGGTTTGTTAGTAATTTTTCCAAATGTTAGTGTAGTAATTAATTATAAATGCCACCATTCATATGAAAATGGCCACTGGAAAGTGAAACAATAAACAATCAAAAACTAACACAACTTCCTAATATCTAGTTGAGAATTAAACTTCAGTCCACAGACCTGAAATGACTGGCATATCCTAAACAGGATATATTTCCCCCTCAGTTCTCTACTGAGGAATTAGTCATTAATTCCTCCTATTAAAATATTTCCTTCTCCCAAACAGTGAATATTCAAGAGAAGAAGCAGCATCTATTGTCCTCAATGAAGGACAGAATCCTGTTCTAATTTTATCATATTCCGCACTATCTTCCTCTTTTAAAAAAGGAAGAGTGTATGATTATTTGCAAAGATAAACTATTCTGTTCATATTTTGATGAATGACCTAAAGAACCAATTTCAGTAACAACAAAATAAATAATCTCGTACTGTATAGTCCAACAAGGGTTGAGCACATAAATACCAGCTCACAATAATTCAGTTAAAAAAAAAATGGGGGGGGGCGTGTGTGTCTGTAAAAGCAGGAATTCCTGCAGTAAATACCACACATACCAATCTTTTAAAAGGAATTGGTATGAGTTTCCACAGCATTTTTTTCTCCGAACCTGGAATACACATGATTACTTTCTAAATAACGGTAAATATTTTGCCAAATTGGCAACAAAGTTCACTTTTCTTGAGAGACTTATGAGAATTTTCAAATTACAATTGGAAATTTCCAAGCATACATATTTTTAATCTAGACTCCAACAGCAAATTTCATGTCCTTCTGACTGTCTAGTAAAAAAATGTGGGGGAAAAAAAAGCCTACCAAGATTAAAGGTTTACCAATTAAGATTTTCTAACCCATCTATAGTATTGATGCTGCAAAAACATGAAACAGAAACTTGCAGGCTGCTTCTCCTGAATAAGTTAAAATTTTCTGGTCATTCCCAAAGATTTCCATTTAGCTTCCCCTATTCAGGTGGGCAGTCAAATTTGGTAGTAGCAAACATAATTTTTGATTGAGTCAAATGCTAACAAATTGTGATTATATTATAAACAGTACGTGTGAGAACATTCCTAAATCTTCCCTGGTCTTATACTGACACCAGGCAAACATCCTTCTACTTAAGAGACATTTTTATTGTGTATTGCAGAGACAAACTAGGTAATAGTTGTCTTGACCACCGCCAATAAATCTCTTACCTTCGTGTTGGCGCATGCTTTCCCCTTCTTATAGTCCTTATGGCTGCCTCTTTTATCCAATTTGGCCCACAAGGCTTTGGCTTTCCAGTAATTTAGCTTGGACTTAAGTTTGTGATAGAAAGAACGATAGTCCTTGGGCTTTAGTTCTAAGTAGTCACAGAGCTCTTGGAAAGCCTTGAGAGTCCCCTTGCAGGTTGAAGCCTGGACAAATCTGTCAAAGAGAACATGAGCCTGGTTCACCTTCTCATTCTTACTTTCCTCCATGCTTCACACTTCGCAGCTGCCCTTGGGGGCAGCTGTTCTCTTCCAGTCTGCCAGATTTCCCGATGTTGCTCTGCTGAGCCACTTTCACCTCTGGCTTACAAGCATTATTAACCTATAAAATAAAAAGAAGAAAACATAA